ATCGGAAGAAGGGAGCTCGAGGTGGGTGGGCGGAAAAGAGGGCCAGCACGGGATGGCAGGGACCGGAGCAGCAGCGACGGCGCAGACCGGGACTAGCAACGGTGACCCCGGACAGGGGAGGGAGGGTGCTCGAGGTGGCGCAGACCCAGGGCGATTCAGGTCCCCGGGACTGGGCCGGGCGGGGGCGCTGACCTGGTGCAGGGCGCTGATGCCGTCGGCGTTGGTGGAGTCCAGCACTGCGCGGGCAGGCGGCGAGGCAGCAGGGTCGAGCTCGGCGCCCGGGCCGGGGTCGGCCGCGCGCAGCATCAGGCGCGCCTCGTCCAGATCGCCGCCCGGGCAGGCCGCCAGGAACTCGGCGGCGCGCTCGAAGCGCACGGTGCGGGCGCGCCGCTCCCCGGGGCCCGGCTCGGCGCCCGCCCGCGCCCCCCACTGCCGCAGCTGCTCCCGCCGCCGCTCGCGGGCCGCTGCCGCCGCCGCCCCGGGGCCCGCCCCCGGGCCATCCTCGCCCGACATCGCACCGCCAGCCCGTGGGCGAACGAGCTAGGGAGCGAGCGCCGAGCTCCGAGCCCTGAGCTGCCGCCGCCCGCCCACGGGCCGCCGGGATCTACAGCCCGCCCAGCACCGTCCCGCGCCGCCCCGCGCCGCCCAAGGATCCACTGGCCCCCGCCCGGCGCGTGACGTCACCCCGCCGTCCCGGGGCGCGCTGGGAAATGGAGTCCTCAGCCTGGAGAGGCGAATGGCAACCGCCTCACGGAAGGCCGCGGGGAGCGCTGGGAAATGGAGTCCATAAGCGGAAATTGCTCTTGGCAACACTCCGGCCTCGATCGGCCCCGAGGCACACTGGGAAGTTCGCAGCTCCGAGGTGTCGAAAGGAAACATGATTGAGAGGATTCTCCTGCGATTGCTGGGAAATGGAGTCTAAAGGCTACAGGTGTGCCCCCCAGGGCATGCTGCGAAATGTAGTTCACAGCATCAAAAGGACGAAGAACTGGCCCCTGGGGACCTAGTAGGAAATGGACTTGACAGCCCGGGAGTCCTAAAAGGACTAAAAGTCATAAAAGTATGCTCGCTTCATCTAGAAATAAGCCCCAGGAAGACAGGAGTTTTTGTCTTCCGTGTGCACTACGTGCTCCCAGTGCCAAGAACTGAGCCTAACAAAACGCGATCGGAAATAATATTTTGGAGGAATGAATGAATGGATTCCCTAGGTCGTGGGAAACGTCAGGACACTACGGGAAATTGAGTCCGCAACCCTTAGACCAAGACAATCCCTGGGTGACCTCCCGGGTCATGCTGGGAAGTAAAGATTGCGGTACAAAGGTCACGGTGATCGGCCGCTGGGCACGCTGGGAAACGTAGTCCTCGGGGCCACGCCCCTAAAGGCACAGTTGGTCCTAGGCAGAGTCCCAAAGCACCCCAAGTCCCTGATAGAACCCCTGGGTCACATCGGGAAAGGAGCCGAAGAGACGGGGTCCACAATGACAGCTCCCCCAGAGCCTTCACTGGCCCTCCCTGCTACTGTCTCCTTGAGACGTGGAGCACGCTGGGAAATGTAGTCCGGGCTCTACATCCTCGCAAGCCATGCTGGGACTTGTAGTCCAGGGCGAGGAGATCGAACCCGTGTGCAGGGTGAATTGCCTCATACATAGCACCGTAAAGCATGAAATTATCCTTATGTTAAGCACTCTGCACTTAAATCCTCATTGGGAAAGAGGCAGGCACTTTTAGACCGGAACAAAGACCCATAAAAAGCGCAAACGTTTCAGCATAACGGCGCTGAAATCCAAAGAGAAGCAAGATTCTTTTTTCCCAAGGGATGTCGGAGCAGCCCTACCCACTCTGAAATCCCTGGGTTTGTGCAATAATAATAATAATAATAATAATAATAATAATAATAATAATAATAAAACTACAAATCCCGTGAGACCTGGAGACCGTCGGGATGGACACAAAGGGGATAGCAGTCCCGGAGCCAGAAATCATATTGTGACCCAACTGTGACCTCACAGACGACGCAGAACAGAAAGGTGGGTGGCATCTCGGTTCCCGATGGCAGGGTTTTTTTGTTTGTTTTTTGTTGTTGTTGGGCTTTTTTCCGATGGCAATTTTTTTTTTTTTTTTTTTTAGATTTATCCACTTTTGGCTTTCTGTTTTGTTTTGTTTTGTTTTCAAGAGCCACAGTGCCTTTATTTAAGGATTTTTTTAAATTGAAGTTAATTTACAATGTTGTTAAGTTTCAAGCGTACAGCAAAGTGCCTCAGTTATTTTATATATATACATATATATACATATATATATACATATATATTATTATTATTAAGATTCTTTTCTCCTATAGGTTATTACAATTTTTTTTTAGGCTACGCCCTGCAGCTTGTGGGATCTTAGTTCCCCAACCAGGGATCGAACCCAGGCCCCCGGCAGTGAAATCCTAACCACTGAACCACCCTATTACAAAATATTGAGTATAGTTCTCTGTGCTGTACAGTAGGCCCTTGTTGGTTATCTATCTTATATATAGCAGTGGGATCAGTGGGTTTGTTTTTGTTTTAGTCTACTCACAAGGTTGTGCAACCATCACTACTGTCTAATTCCAGAACACTCCCATCACCCCCAAAAAGAAACACCATTCCTTTTAGCCATAACCCCTCATTCCTTCCTTCCCCTGAGGCCCTGGAGACCACGACTCTACTCCCTGCCTCTATGGATTAGCCTTCTAGAAATTTCCTATCAGTGGCATCACACAATGTGTGGCCTTTTGTGTCTGGCTTCTTTCGTTATGATTTGGAGACTCATCTACATTGTAGCCTGTGTCAGAGCCTCATTCTTTTTTACGGCTGAAGGATATTCCCTTGTATCCATTCACCAGTGGACGGACGTTTGGGTTGTTTCCACCTCTTGGCTATCGTGATAATGCTGCCAGGATTCCTGTACAAGTTTTTGTGAGGACAGAGATTTTCAGTTCTATTGGGGCAGAATTGCTGGGTCCTATGGTAACTCTATGTTTAACTTTTTGAGGGACCGCTGGACTGTTTTCCAAAGCGGCAGCCCCATTTTACATTCCTGCCGGCTGTGTGTGAGGGTTCAACCTTACACATCACCGTCACGATTGTTGAAGATTCTAATAATAACAATCAAAGAACAGCAGGTGCTGCAGGGGGAGCATTTATTTCAAGCCACAGATGGGACACACACTCCAAGGGCTCCCGGGTGCCTGGAGGGGGGTGGGGGGGCAGGGCCCAGATCCTCACTTCCAGCGGCCTCCAACGCGGCCCTTCCCGGCCCCCTTCCGGCTGTAGGAGAAGGAGGGGTGTCAGAAAGGAAGGCCTCCCTGACCCACCTCGGAGATGGGTCCCTGTCCCCAATTCAGGGAGTCCATCCCCCCAAATCCCCGCCTTCCCCGCCAGAGGAAGGGGCCGGCAAGTGCCTTCTCATTGGGTTCACTGCCTGGAGTGGCGTGATTAGTGGTCACAGGCCCACAGGCGGGCAGGAGTTGATGTCAGTGGATGAGCTCAGGATGTTCATATGGGCACTGATAAATATTTATGGGTACAGGGATGGGGGAAGGAAAGGGTGAGTGACTGAGAGAGGGTTGGGGAGGCTGGGGTGAAAGAGACAGAAAGATGGAAAGTGAGATGGAGAGAGAAGACGAACAGAAGGCAGAGGGGAGTGGGGGGGGCGGGAAGGAGAGAGGGAGACAGAACAAGAAACAGAGGAAAAGCCGGGCTCCTCAACCTCAGCACCAGCGACATTCGGGGACCGGATCGTTCTGTGGTGAGGGCTGTCCTGTGCGTTGTAGGACGTGGAACAGCAGCCCGGGGCTCCACCCACCAGGTGCCAGTAGCGTCCCCCTCCCCAAACAAGCTCGAGACATCCCCCCATGTCCCCGGAGTCGGGGACAAGGTCACCCCCGCCCCGAGAACCAGTGATTTAGAGGGACATAGAAACAGGGATTGAGACCCCAGAAGAGAGCGGGAGGGTGGAGAGGAAAGGACAGATTATGAGACCGTCCCAGAGAAAGAGGGATAAAGACAGAGCCCCCAAGAAGGGGTGGAGAACTGAAACTCAGAGTAAGGGACAGCCAGAGGGAAGGAAAGAGAGGCCCCAAGAGTCAGATGGAGGGGTGTGGGGCTCAGGGCTGGGTTCACACTTACAACTTCTGGGCGTGGCTGATGCGATTGTACAGAACATTGATCTGCAGAGACAGGAGGGAGATTCTGGCACAGCTGGAGGGACAGGCCCACTCACCCCCTACCCAGCCCCAGACCAGCCCCCAACCCGGCCATCCCCAGCCCAGCTTGGCCTCCAGCAGAGATGGGTCTCACCTCATATTTCTGCTGCTTCAGCTTCTCCATCAGGTCAAACTTCTCGGACTCCAACTGGTGGATCCAGTCCGACAGTTCCTGGGCCTTCTCCCTGGCAGGGCAGAAGGGCTGTCACGGAAGGGAGCCAGGCCAGGCCATGAACCCAAAGAGGTTGAGGGAATTGTTCAAAGCCACACAGTGAGTCTCTGAGTTCGACATTATTGGTGCCATTTTGTTAATATCTGAGGCCACGATATTCAAAGTGAATTGCAGCATAGGGGTTTTAAAATCTCTGCCCACTTCTCCATATCCAAAACAGAGAGTTCACGTTTCTCTAAGGGAGAATGAGCATGGTTAAGGGCCTAGGCCCTGGAGTCAGAAAGCCTTGGTTCAAATACCAGCTTTGGAATTCTCTGGTTCGTGACTATGGCCAAGTGACTCCCCCTAGGACCCTCCTTCCCTCTCCAGAAAAACATAGAAATCAAACGGTAAAAGAAATGGCTGGTTGCCCACCTCCTCCCTTTCTTCCTTAGAAATCGAATTTTTTTGCAGTAGGCTCAGTTAAAAAGTTCCTCTCCCCAATCTCCCTTACAGGTAGGGTAGCCAATGGGATGAAAGTAGGTCATTGGGTGGAGCTTCCAGGTAAGATTCTGTGGGTCTTGCTTTACAATTTCTGCTGCTTGGATATGATGGCTGGAACTCCAGCAGCCACATTGGACCAAGAGGTGATTTTGAGGACAGAAATATTAGGCTAAAAGTAGTGGAGCAGAAAAATAGGAGCCTGAGTCTCTAGTGATTTTGTAGAGTTGCCATACCAGCTATGGACTACCGATTTCTTCTATGTGAGAAAACAAACCTCTATATTTTAGGTTGCTATAGTCAGATCTCAGTTATTAGAGGCCAAACTTATTCTGAACTGTTAAAAATCTACTGCCTTGAACTGTTATAGAATGAGAGAATAGGTATAAAGTACCTGGCACATGCTAAATACTCGACAAAGCTAGTTGTTACTATTCTTTTTATTCTTACTAGCAGTCTTTGTTTCCTTTTGCCAGCTAATGGTCTTCAAATGCTGTCTCTTCCATGGTGTATTTTACTTTAAAATTTTATAGACCATCATATGACCTCTATCTAATAAATAAAACTTAAATAACTTGAGATCCTCAAAAAATATTAGTAGATCCAAATTATGAGTGGATGTGTGGTGAGGGAAGGAAAGAGGAGGAAAAAGGAACTTTCGCAACATGTTATTTAGTGCTAGGCCCTGTGATAACGTGACTGGGGAAGGACGGCACATCGCCAGTGCTGGGCTGGAGCCAAATCCGCGCATCCTTTCCCAGCTCCGAGTGCACGGTTCTCACACTGGTAGTTTGACATCAGCATGGTGGGAGTATTTACACCGCGGAAATGAGCAAATGCTAAGATGTGGACTTTTAGGCCCTGGAGATCCACTTATTAAACATTTACCATCACACCACTTTGTACAAGAGTGATGAAGAGCACAGACTACCGCACCAGACTGCCTGGGTTCAAATCCGCACTCTCCCACTTGCAAGGTGTGCAACCCTGGAAAGGTTACTTAACCTCTCTGTGCCTAGGGCTCCTCTTTCTTTTTTTTTTTAATGTTCCAGTTGCTTGCTTAGCTTTAATATGAGGGTGATAACAGTATTATGGTGTCTACCTCATAGGGTTGTAAGCCCTCCACAGGGGGCTGCTGCTGCCATACTGACCTCTCACTGCTCTGTGATGTAGATTTTGTCATCATAGCCTCATTTTACCAGTGAGGTAAGCAAGGCTCACAGAAGGTAAACAACGTGCACACAGCTGTAAGTGGTGAAGCCGGCACTGAGCCCCTGGCAAGTGGTTTCAGATGTTGAGCTCCAAACCCCATCACTGTGCTGCCTATGAGGTGGTGGATGTTTCTGACTTTAAAGTCTGTGCCTGGGCCAGAAAATGTCAAGATGCAGACGAGAGCCCTGAAGGAAAGACCCTCCCCGGCCTTCCCTCAGGTGGCTTACCACGAGATGCAGGCTGTGCAGACAGTGAGCTGTGAATGGCAAGATAAAGCCCCATCCAGAAGAGATGTGGCTGGAAAACTGTTGCCAGTGCATCTGGCTTTAATTCAGGTAAAAGATGGGGCCCATTCAGAGTTCCCAGGGGAAATCAAAACACCATAATCTCCTAAATTTTGGTCAGATCTGTTGTCTGGCTTCCGTACTATAACCCAGACTCTACAGGTCTCGGCACCCACAAAACGTGGGGCCTGTATCAGTGAAACATTCCACAGGGGAGTCTACAGGGGTGCAGAGAGGGAGAGACACTTGCCCAAAGACACACAGCACCAGGGCTTCCGCCCACTGGGATCTGGGCCCTTATCTGCCCGCCTCATACGCAGGCCCCTCCCACCTACCGGAGCTGTTCTTCTCTCATGTGGTCGATGTTCAGAGGCTTTTTACGCTCCGACAAGATGCGCAGTTTCATCTCACGGCCTGTCTGGCGCTTACCCCGCTTCTGTTCTGCCTGACGGTTGAAAAGCACATCGTGAACCAGGGGATGGGTCCACCAGATGGCTCCGCACATCAGGACCCAGGAGTCCTGCCCTATGTCCTCCCACTTCAGACTCAGGGGTCCGGGCCCCCAGCCCCTCCTCCCACATCTTTGGGAGACCAGTCCCTTGCGTACCTCACCACCCGTTTCCTGTTCAGGCCCTGGCAGGTTGAACTCACCTTGACCAGGTAACCCCCGAAATGGGCGCCCATGTTGGACAGAACTTTCTTCTTTTTGGCGTCGTCCTCAGCTCGCTTCTTGGCCTCTTCCTCCTCCTTCCGCATCTTTTCCTCCTGTGGGGAGAAAGGGGTTAATTCCCGGGCCTCCCTCCGGCACCCTGGACGGAGAGGGGAGGGGGTCTGAGATGGGCACATGGGAGGGGCCTCTTCTGCACTGAGTGAAGCAGGGATCAGTCAGACCCAAGCATAAAACAAGGGCAATATCAGAACAGGCAAGGATGCTGACGGTCCCCTCCTCACCTTTCCAGGCCCGGCTGTGTGATGACCACCTGCAAGTCCTTCCTCCTCTTTGAGACTTTATATACCACCCCCAAGGAAAATATTAAACTAGTGGAGGGATGTGCTTGCTTTTTGCTGCATGCTCCAGCCTGAAATGGCCAATGGTGATCTTTGCTGTGTGACCTCAGTGCAGGCATGTACCCTCTCTGGGACTTACCTTTCCTTAGTCTCATGAGAGGAGAATGACTGTCCTCAGAGGGTCATGGAAGGTAACTTGTGATGGGAGTCGGGGGGCTTGGGGCAGTAAAGAGGCTCTTGGCCTTGAGCCTGAGGAAGAGGTTCTAGAATGCCTTCACTAAGGCATTATTACCACATCCAGAAAGTCTGCACTGCATGTTCCAGAATTAATGGCTTGTCCAGACCAAAGCCCCATCCCCACTGGAGAGGCAGGTGAGATGGGCATGATGGTAGTTCACTTGCCCAGGATTTCCCACCTGAATTAATTTCCTCTCGCTGCTGTAATTTGCAAACAGAGTGGCTTAAAACAATGAAAGTTTATCAGCTTATAGTTCTGCAGGTCAAAAGTCTGAAATGGGTCTCAGGAGCTAAGTCAAGGTATGGACAGGGCTGGGTCCTTCTGGAGGCATTAGGGGAGATTCACTCCCTTTGCTCTTCTGGCTTCTAGGGGCCGCCTGCATCCCTTGGCTCAGGGCCACTTCCCCCATCTTCAAAGGTCCTCCCTTGTTTACGGACCCTTGTGATAACACTGGGCTCACCCAGGAAATCCAGGAGAATCTCCTGATCTCAAGATCCTTAACTTAATCATACCAACAAAGTCCCTTTTGTCAGGCAGGTTCCCATATTCATAGTCTCTGGGAATTAGGATGTGGACATCTTTGGGAGACCAGTCCTTTGCGTACCACACCACCCATTTCCTGTTCTTTAAAAGTGGTTTCAGGGGGCTTCCCTGGTGGCACAGTGGTTAAGAATCCACCTGCCAATGCAGGGGACACAGGTTCGAGCCCTGGTCCGGGAAGATCCCACATATCATGGAGCAACTAAGCCCGTGCGCCACAACTACTGAGCCTGTACCCTAGAGCCCGTGAGCCACACCTGCTGAGCCTGCATGCCACAACTAGTGAAGCCCACCATGTCTAGAGCCCGTGCTCTGAAACAAGAGAAGCCACCGCAATGAGAAGCCCGCGCACTGCAACAAAGAGTAGCCCCCGCTCACCGCAACTAGAGAAAACCGGCGCACAGCAGCAACGAAGACCCAACGCAGCCAAGAAAGAAAGAGAGAAAGAGAGAAAGAGAGAAGGAGAGAAAGAAAGAGAGAGAGAAAGAAAGAGAGAAAGAGAGAAAGAAAAGAAAGAAAGAAAGAAAGAAAGAAAGAAAGAAAGGAAAGAAAGGAAGGAAGGAAGGAAGGAAGGAAGGAAGGAAAGAAAGAAAGAAAGAAAGAAAGTTGAAAGAAAGAAAGAAAGAAAGAAAGAAAGAAAAGAAAGAAAGAAAGAAAGAAAGAAAGAAAGCGGTTTGAGGGACTTTGCTGGTGGTCCAGTGGTTAAGACTCTGTGAGGGGGCATGGGTTCGATCCCTGGTCGGGGAACTAAGGTCCCACGTGCCGCGCAGCGTGGCAAAACAAAAACAAAAACAAAAAAAAGTGGTTTGAGTGAGCCACTCCTGATGCCAAGTCAGGTCATGTTTTCAAGGGTTAAACCAATGGGAGCATTCTAGCCACTCTCTCCCAACTAGCCAGTGATTCACTCCACAGTGGACAGGTGAACAATTTGAAAACATCCCAGCATTTGTGCAGGAGGCAGAGAAAAGAGGAGTTTAAGCCAGAGCTGCTGGTGGTCGTTTGCCACCCCTGCCTGGGAACAATCTGGTTTGCCTGGGACTGATGGGATGCAGGATTTTCAGGGCTCAGACCAGGAAAGTGCCAGGCAAACCAGGATGAGTTGCTCACCCTCCTGGACACACTGTCCACAGAAATATTGGCCAAGATGGGAAGAGAAAAGCTGGGTCTTTGTGATATTATTTGAGTCCCTTGATCCAGCCATGCCTGAAGCAAGCCATGCCCTAGACCTTTTAGTTATATGAGCCAATAAAGTTCTCTTTCTGCTAAGTTCAGTTTGGATTGGAGTTTCTGTCCCTTCCAACAGAAAGACCCTTGAATAATACAGCATGAGGACTTTTATGGGATCACAGAGAATATCATGAGTGGAAAATTGCAGTGTCCAGCTGAGAAAGTAATATTTGGGCTCTGGGAGGAGGGGAAACACCCACCACCAGCTTAGCCTGACGCTCGCGCTCCTTCTCGGTTCTGAAGCGCTGTTGCTCAGCTCTCTCCGCCCGGCGCCGCTCCTGGGGGAGAGAGAAGAATGAGGGGGTGCAGGGACCACCACACATCCCCTTTATCACTTCCCAGGGTAGGTCAAGAGTGGTGATGGGCACCAACTTGGGTACTTTCCCAAAAGTTTCAGCCTTGGGTCTGTAGTGGACGGGAACGTATCTCCCAAGGCCCAAAGGATGGAAGGAGGGAGAAGAATTTGGGGAACCCCACCTCCCTTGACTCACAATACGCTCTTTTAGCGCCACGAGCTCCTCTTCCTCTTTCTTCCGCTGTTCAAAATGCACGTCAATGAGCGTCTGCAGCTCCAGCAGATCTTTTTCCATGCGCTTCCGGTGGATGTCCTAGGGGACAGAGGGTGGGAGCACGGTCACTCCCCAGGTGGTGCCCCAAGAGGGCGCCAACCTCTCAGCACTTCTGAGAAGCATCAGGAGGGGGAGCCCTTTGCAGCAAGAATTGGTGCGGTTGGGCTTCCCTGGTGGCGCAGTGGTTAAAGAATCCGCCTGCCAATGCAGGGCACACATGTTTGAGCCCTAGTCTGGGAAGATACCACATGCCACAGAGCAACTAAGCCCGTGCGCCACAACTACTGAGCCTGCACTCTGGAGCCCGCGAGCCACAGCTACTGAAGCCTGTGCACCTAGAGCCCGTGCGCCGCAACAAGAGAAGCCACCGCAATGAGAAGCCTGCGCACCGCAACGACGAGTAGCCCCCCGCTCGCTCTGCGACGAGAGAAAGCCCGCGCGGAGCAACGAAGACCCAACGCAGGCAAAAATAAATTAAAAAAAAAAAAAAATCGCAATGAGAGGCCCGCGCACCGCGGTGAAGAGTAGCCCCCGCTCACCACAACTAGAGAAAGCTCATGAGCAACGAAGACCCAACGCAGGCAAAAATAAATTAAAAAAAAAAAAAAAGAATTGGTGGGGTTGACAGCTGGGACAGACGTCTGCCGTGCACTGTGTTTCCAGCAGATGGCAGCAAAGCATCGTATTCTGACACGACACTATGGGGCTGTCAAGACACAATTCCAAAAGAAGGGGGTAGGAAACAAACAAACAAAAGGGAAAAAAACAAACAAAAACCGGTGGCTAGGGAGGGGCACCTCTTCCTAATTTGCACCCTATAGGCTAGCAGCCCCTCCTGGGATGGGATGTCTGTTACTTACATCGAAGTCCACACGTTCCCCCTCTGGGATCTTTGGGGGGATCAGCGGAGGTACCACGGGCCGGCTGAGTGGACAGAAGAGAAGAAACACTGAGTAGTCTGACCTCCCTACTGAATGTAAAATATTTTACTAATAACGTTTTATATGGATTAATGTTGAAATTCTGAGATTTTGGCTATAACAGGTTGAGTAAAATATGCTATTATGATTAATTTTACCTGTTTGGGTTTACTTCTTAAAAGGCTGCTAGTAAAAAAAAATTGTTTCTTAAGTTATTACATATGTGGCTTGCATTGTATTTGTATTGGGTGGTGCTGCTTTGGGGCACTACCCTTGTCCTCTCCTTGATTTCCTGCCCTGGGCACTCCCACTTATTGGAATTTTCTCTTTCTTTGGTCTTTCTTTTCTTTCTTTCTTTCTTTCTTTCCTTTCTCTTTCTTTCTTTCTTTCTTTTTTTCTTTCTTTCCTTTCTTTCTTACTTTCTTTTTTAAGCTGCAGAATTTATTTTTATTCTTGCAGTTTTATACTAGGAAGTCAACATTTTTTAATAATTCATTGTTCACAATTGATTTATAAGAAACTTTAATCCTTAAATTGTACATCAGTGTCCTATGACTCCAAATCTTATTTATCACTCTCCTTCCAGTCTGAAGAAAACGATCATGTAATTTATTAACTTCCACAGACAGCACAGTCCCACTGACATAACATTTGGTTTGAAGTCCTACACTCATATGAAAGTTAAGAATAGCCAGTATCAAACTGGCCTGAAACCTGATTGTGTTCCTGGCTCAAGATACCTGTAGTAAATTTGTAAGTCCACACTAAGACACAAAAATAAACTAGGGTGTGTATATCGTATAAAAAACTTTTCACAGTATAGTAAAAATAACATTAAAATGTTACAGAATTTCAATCATATTACAGTGTTTTAATCAATTAGCTTTCAAAATGCCTGATTAATTGAATTAAATGCAAATAACTTTGTATGGGATTTTTTTTTTTATGTTTGCCCAGCATTTCAAAATGGTTATAGAATATAACTTTTAAAATGTCAAAATACGCTCTACATATTGCACTTTTCTGCTAGGCTGGGCTAGTATCCTCCATGGCAAGATACCAAAACTATTGAATAAAATACACTTTAAAATCAATAGCTATTTTATTAATTTCCTTGAAATTATCATCATCATTACCAAAACCTTCCAGGATTTTGTAAGATTTGATTTCTTAAATACAGCTTTAAAGTTTAACTTAAGGAATGAACAAATCCCTCATACATTTGACTTTTTATTTCCTTTTTTGGTCATTCAATGATCAAAGAGAATTTTAAACAAATTATGCTTCATCTTTCCTGGCTTAATAAAAAGCAACAATTTCTATTAACCAAATTAAGAGAGCTTTGCCCTTTGATTCATTCGTGGGACACTCTTGTGATTAACGTCATTCACTCCTGTGACTTTGATTATCATCAATTACCGAGGATTCACCAACTCTGTCTCCAGCCCAGACTCTCTCCCAAACCCCAGACTCCAGTAAACGGATGCTTCCTGAACATTTCCTGCCTTTGCACACACCCTGCCCCAACTGAGCTCATCAACCTGTGGGTCTCTCAGTCTGTGGCCCCTTTCCACCCTATGCCCTCTGCTCCAGCTTAGGCCTTTTCCCCTTGAAAACTCACCACATCCTACAGTTCCCTGGCCATGTCATGTGCCTTTGTGCCCCGGGGCCTTTGCACACTCTGTTTGCTCTGCCCTACAATGCCCTTCCCCTGATATACTCCACCCCTGAGACCTTCCCTCCTCCAACAAGCTTTCCCTGACACTGAAGCACACCTGTGCTTTCATGTGCCCCTGTGCTCTCAGCCAGATCTGATCCTCGGCCCCCTCTGCTCAGAACCCTTCCATGGCTCCCCGGTGTCCCAGAGAATTTCTGCATCTCATGCTCGATTGCTGCCTCCTTGCATCTCCAAGCTTCATCCCCAGTGTCACACCCTCCAGGGTGAGCTCTCACAGACTTCCCTGGTCTGCCTAGTTTGGGTCTTTCTCATCAGGATGACCTGTGTCCGCATCTGTTCCCTGAAACACTGGCCAAGATCCAGCTACTGGACCTTGCACACACCACTCCGCTTCATCATCTACAATCTCCCTTCTACTTCCTTCAGCTAGCAAACTCTTCCGCCCTCAGGACTCGGCATCACCTCCCCTGGGAAGCCTTCCTTGATTGCCTAGGGCACAGATAGGGCCCTCTTCTGCACTACCATTGCTGTATCTGGGTCTGTTTCACCAACAGGACAGCAAGAGTCTGACTCTTGCCAAACACAGTGGGAAGTTCACCAGAAATGTTTGTGGACAGAAGGAATCACTGTCCTTTTCTACGTTTCCATTTCCCCACTCTCCTTCCCTGCCTTTCTTGCACCCTATCTCTGGAGGTGGGGGACATATTTAAGAGGACATGATTGGGAGCCCCACCCCCCAGGATCTCACCTTGGTTTGGGGCGCTCCTCTTCTGGTGGAGGGATACAAAAAGATAATTAGCAAGAGTTCGTGGGGTGGGCATGACACATCCAAACGAGGGACCCGCCTCCAAGCGTTGGTCCCCACAAGCCCAGTTCCCTTCTCCTGCAGCTCTGGGGGAAGGGTATGGGGGGGAAGAGGATAAGGGAAATCGGGGTGGTCATAAAGGAGGGAGAGGGTCACATGCATCAGATATACATTCAGAACTGGTGTGGGGATCCCCCTCCCATTTCTCTGGGAACCCAGGTGTCCAAACCGCCAGACCATAAGGAGAAAAAACAAACAAACCCTCAGACCCTCGTTCTACATACCCAGAGCTCCTGCCCTCCATCAAGATCTAGCAGTGCAGGGAGGCCCCAAGCCCCCTCTTCACTCGGCGACCCGGGAGTTGTGTCGCCAGCCCCCTCCCCCTTGGGGACAGAGGAATACAGACTCCCACTGCTAGTCCCATCTACAACCCACGCCCCAACCTTTGAATGTATATGAAGGAGACAAGTAACAGACAGGCGAAGATGAGGGGGGAGGGGTGCCTCTCCGCAAACATCCAACCCTTCTATAAGTATTCCTCCAGACTGGGAAAGAAGGCTTGGGTGTTGGTCCCTTTAAGAAGGAAGGGAACGGGTTAAAGCCATTGCGAGGCTGTTTCCCTTCTTGGCCACCGGAGGGCGCGAGAGCTCTCCGGGGCTTAAAGGACCGGGCCGGCGACGGGTTACGGGGACGGGTTACGGGAGCGGGGAGGGAGTCATCTTGGAGGTCAGGGCCCGGAGGACCCCCGAAATCGGCCTCAGGAAGCGAAGTAGCCGCGGTTACCTCGCTCAGCCACCGGCTCCGGCTCCTCGGGGGCTGGGGAGGGGGCGGGAGAAGCGAGGATTTGGGGAGCCGGGGGAGGGGAGCAGCCATGCCCGGATGCGGGAAGGGGAGAGAGGGGAGAGAGGGGAGAGGCTGTTAAAGGAGCTGAGGCCGAGGCCATCGAGATCCCCGGCCCCGCCCAGCCTGCACCCCGTGGACTAGCGTCCCCACCGCACCAGCCCCCCGGTGCCGCGTCCAGCTCCAGACCTGCGGAGTCCAGGGCCTCACCTTCCTCCTCCTCCTCAGCAGCCTCCTCTTCTGGAAGGGGTGGGGGAGACAAGAGGAGGCGTGAGGAGCCCGGGGTGGGGGGGACGGCAGGGGCTTCAGATGGGGGGAAGGGTGCGTGAGTGCGCAGAGACCCGCGTTCGGGTTCGAGTCTCATCTAGACGGGGGGACCCCTCTGGGCCTCAGCTGCAAGTGGGCCCACCGAGCTCTTCCCACGGGCTGTGCGGACCAGGAGGGTGGGCGTAGGGCAGGGTGGGCTAGGATGCGCCAAGGTGTCCCCACCTCCCCTCCCCCCCAAGGCCAGCCCACTCTCCACTCACCTTCAGGCTGCTCCCTGAGGACCCGGGAGGGAAGGAAAGAGGGAGGGGGAGAGTTAGGCGCCTTGGAGGTGGGAGGTGTCTCCACCGCTCCAGGGCCCCAGCCCGCCTGCCAGCATCACTCACTCCTCATATTCCTGCTCTTCGGCGTCCGACATCCTGGTGTCCTGCTGTGACCTACGAAAAGCAGAGAATGGGCGGAGTGGGGTGGGGTCCAGAGGAGGAGGGGCTGGGGGCCTGGAGTCCTGGGTCTGAGGGGGGAGGGGCTGGGGGCCTGGAGTCCTGGGTCTGAGGGGGGAGGGGCTGGGGACCTCCAACTCCTAAAGACTCCTAAACCGAGGGTGAAGACAGCGCATTGGGAGATACGGTCCGGGCAGAGCCCCAAGGCTGCAGCCCCCGCCCCCTGACCACAGCTGTCCCCTTTTGTCTTATGACACGTCCGTAGGAACCTGATCTGAGTAGGCATTAGGAGGAGGTATTTGGGAAGGGACAGTGGTCCGAAGACAATAGCTGCCCCACCCCCAGGGTCTATTTTGGGGGGATGTCGTAGAGGGTGACACCGAGGACATCTCCTGAGAAGTATTCGTGGAGGGGGGGGTTCTAGGAGAATTAATCATACCCGCTGCCCTCTCCCACCCCAGGTCCCCTCCCCTTTGGCTGGTTATCTGCCCACCTGTCGCCTCCTTTCACCTTCACCCACTGCCATGGAGGGGACAGGACACATAAGAGCAGCTTCTGTCCCCAGACCTCATCCTGACCCCTAATCTCTGAGATCCCCGAGGCGCCCAGGTTGAGAGACCCCACAAAATCCCCATACCCACAGACCCCAATTTATGAATTCTGAAAAACAGTAACTCCTCATATCTCCAGATTCTGAGACTCCAACTGTCGAGACTCCCGATTATGCGCGCCCTAAAATCTTGACCCCCTAGGCCTTGACATCCCCTAAATTCTGAAACCTCAGGACTGTGAGACCCCCAAAATCTGGATGCATAAACTCAGGGGACTGATTCATGAAGCCCCCAAATATGACATTACAAATTCTAATACCGCCCATCATGAGGCATCAGATTCTGCGACCTCAATTCTTAAATCGGCAGATTCTGAGACACTGCCCCCCAGTTCTGACACCCAGACTGTCTGTCATCCAAGCCCAGGAACTCCCAGTTTCCGAGATTCCCTCAGACTCAGACCTCCGAGGTCCTAAGGTGTTATATTCTGGGACCCCCAAACCCTGCACTCCCAGCTCTGTAACCCTCAAGTCCTAATACGTTCCCTTCCATCCCCAGTTCCTCGGGGACCGTTACCTGAGGCTGCGTCTGCAGAGGTGTGAGCGGTGGGGCAGTCTTGCTGGGCAGGCTGAAGCACCCCCAGTTTATAGTGGGAGGCTCAGCCCCGCCCCAGGGGGAGAGGGAGGGGTAGAGAATTCCTTTCCTCACACTCAGAGGCTGCCCTGCCCCCACTCTGGCTCCACTTGCGGGGTAGAGGCACCCCCTGGCTGTTCCAAGGCCTCTCCTCCATCCCAAAAGCATTGTACAGGAACCCCGGGCTGGGTCAGGCCACCCTCGGGCTCCACATCTCCCAGATCACACGGCACACTATGCTCCGAAGCCCCTGGGCTCTGCACGCAGTAGGTCCTTGGAGGATGCTTATTGATGAAAAGGGTACAAGGGACCCCTTCTCGCTCCATGAAGGGGTCCCTTTCTCTGTGTCTCTCTGGGCCTCCACTTCCCATACCCCGTTTCCCTGTCTCTATCTCTCCTTTGTCTCTGTGACTCTTCGTCTGTGTTTCTCTGTGTGTGTCTGTCTCAGCTTCTCCGTCTCCCCACCTCTGTCTCTGTCCATCTCTCCGTCCCCCCCTCCCCACCCCCATCCCTTTGTCTGCCACCAGGATTCCACCCTGGTGACAACAGGCGCTAAAGCGGGGAAACAGGTGTGTGAGGGGGAGGAGGAGGGGAGGGGGAGGGGGAGGGGGTGTGTCAGGCCCACAGGACCTCACACTCCCCACCTCCATCAAACACTGATCTTTTTTGGTAGCCCCTCCCCCTTCCCAGCCAATCCACAACCTTGAACTCTAGGGGCTTCCTCACCCCTCCGTGCCAGTGTCTGTCTCTCCCCGCATTTCTGATTCTATGCATTTCTCAGGGGTTGGCTTTGGGGCTCTCTCTGCATCTCTGTCTCTGAGTCCTTCACTCTGCCTGTCTCCGTGCCGCCAGTTTTTCTCTCTGCATTTCCGCGGGTGTCTCTGCGTATCTGCCTCTCTTGATGTCTGGCTATTGGTCTGTGTCTCCAGGTGTCCCTGTGCTTCTCTGTGACTTGGTTTCTGTGTCTTTAGCTCTGTGTCTGTTTTTATCTTTCTAGTTGTTGTGTGTGTGTGTGGTGGTGGTGGTGGGTTGTCTCTTTGTATCTGCAGTTCTCCCTCTGTGGGTCCTTGTTTCTGTCTCTTCCAGGGCGAGGTCATCTCTGTCTCTCTGCGTATGTCTGTCTCTGTTTCCCCTTTCTGTGCACTTCTTGCTATGAATCTCCGCCTGTTTTCCCTCTCCCTTTGGGTCTCTGCCTGGCTCTCTCTCCCGGGGTCTCTGACTCAGTCTGTCCGTGTCTCCGTGTGTCTGTCTTTGGGCCCTGGTCTCGGCACCTCCGTGCAGCTCCACGTGGAGACCCAGCTCTGCTCCTGATGTGCGCTGCGGCTTTGGGAGAGCCTGGCCCTCAGTTCTCCCGCCTCTCTCACACCTAAGCCCCCCTGGTAATAGACACACAGCCACTCCCAGCTCAGAGAGAAGCTTTATTCCTCGGGTCCATCCTCAGGGCCAGGGCCAGGGCTGTGCACAGGCCTGCTCAGCCCTCAAACTTTTTCTTGCGGCCTTCCATTCCACTCAGCGCATCGATGTTCTTGCGCCAGTCTCCTACCTCCCGGTTTTCCTGGAGGAATGGGTCAGAGGTTAGGGCGTCTTCCTGGTCCACAGGCTCTCAGGTATCCTCCACTTGCCCTCCCGCCTGCTGGGCCACTCTATTCTGGATGCCCATCACACAGTCTGGTTCTGGAACACTTCCTGTCTCCCTCTTGGACTTCCTGTGTCCCTCCTGCACTTCCTGTCTCCCCTCTGCATTTCCTGTGTCCCTCCTGCACTTCCGGTCTCCCCTCTGCACTTCCTGTGTCCCTCCTGCACTTCCTGTCTTCCTCCTGCAGTTCCCGTTTCCCTCTTGGACTTCCTTTCTCCCTCCTGCACTCCTTTTCTCTCACAAACACCCTGCGGACATCATGCACTTCCTGACTCCTTGCCACTTCCCTTCTCCCTAATGCACTTCCTGTCTTCCGCTTCTACATGCTGTCTTCCTCTTGCACTTCCTGTGCCCCTCCTGCACTTCCGGTCTCCCCTCTGCATTTCCTGTGCCCCTCCTTACTTCCTGTGGAAGACCCTTACCAGATACTTCTCCCCACAACTCCAACTGCCACCTGCCCTCAGGCTAGTCCCTAGAACTGCTTGCGCGCACGCGCGCACACGCGCACCTCCTCCCCTAAGCACCCCCTCTCCCGGACCTGCAGCCACACTCACCTTCTCCGTGTCCTCCTTCTTCACCTGCTTGAGGTGGGCCCGCAGGTCTAGGGACTCCTTAGCCCTGGTCCCCAGCAGTGCCTGCATCATGGCATCCGCAGAGATCCGCACTCTACGCAGAGTGGGCCGCTTAAACTTGCCCCGAAGGTCAAAGATCTTCTGGGTCAGATCTGCGATCTGGTAGCAGCCATAAAGAGAGGTGGAGACCACTCCTTCCACTTCCTCCTTGCCTCATTCTTCCACCCTGCACTTCCCTCCAATCCCGATCCAGGTTCTACCTAGCTTAGGCTCCTACCGCCTTCGAGACAAAATCCACGCTCCCCATCCTGAAATTGGAACCTGATCTGCCCCAGCCTCATCTCTGAAAACTACTGACACATCCCAGTCCAGCTACATGCATCTCACAGTTCCCTGGCCCACACCTGAACTCACTTACCAACACTTGAGGCTCCAGCCACACATTTTCACAAACATATTTTCCACTTTCCCACCCCTTGGGTTTTGCATGTGCTGTTCCCTCTGCCTGGAACAGCATTCCCTGACCGTATTGTACTCATCCTTCTGCCCCCTCCCTGCCAGGCTCACAGAGTTGTCCTGGGTCTCCTGGTGTCTGCAACCATAAGCAGCTGCAAGGGTCCAGGCTGAGACCAGAGGCCCAGGCATCACCCCCTATCCTGAAGCGACCCAGACGGCCCAGTGTCTCCTACCTCTGTGATGTTCTTAGTGACTTTCACCTCCACGTCATATCTCTCCTCATCCACCTTGTCCACGCGGGCGTGGAGCTGTCGGCACAAGTCCTGGTGGAGGAATGCAGTGTGTGTGGTGGGGGGAAGGCTGGGGTTCTGGACTCCTGGGGTCTGAGGGAGGAGGAGCTGGGGACCTGGACATCTGGTCCTGGAGGAGTAGATTGAAGCCAGACCCTGGGGGACTGCGAACAAAGCAGAACTCCAGAGCCAGGTGTTCTGAGAATCTGGACTGGAGTGGGTTGGAGGAACCGACCTGTGGGTTTTGAGATTGCAGGCAGCTGCAGGCCACATTTCTGAACTCCTGAGGGTAAGAATTGGGAGACTGGACCCGAAGGTCCTGAGCAGAAAGGGGGGCATAGTAACTGTACCCCTGAGTCCTAAGGGATGCAAGACCGGACAGTAGGAACCTCGGATCCCGGGCTAGGCAGGAGTCCCTGATTGGAGCCGGTACCTGCAGATCCGCGAAGCTCAGCCCGGCCAGCTCCAGAGGCTGGCACCGCGTGCTCAGAGCACGCGCCTTCTCTCCTCGCCGCTCCTCGGCTTCCCGCTCCAGCTCCTGTTTCGCAATCTGCAGCATCAGGGTCTGGGGAGGGCACGACGGGTACGGCAGCACAGGTATGGGGATGAGGACAGAGCGGGATAGCCACCCCCGCCGGGCCCCGCCCTCTAATCCCAGGCCTGCTTCCAGAGACCTGACCCCCCCAAGGTTGATGTCCATCACTCCAAGGCCCCGCCCCTCCCTTTCAGGGCCTCCCGCCCACCTGCTCTTCTGAAGCCCCACCCAACTTCCAAGCCCCGCCCCCTGAAGACACCTAGGCGCTCTCCCCAGGCGCATCGCACCTTCAGCTGCAGTTTTCTCGAGGCGGAGATCTTAGACTTTTTCTGCCGGGGTGAGACAGAGCAAGGAAGGATGAGCGAGGAGGATCCGAAGGAGGACGCCGGGAGGAGCTTCAGAACCCGCCCCCTCAAGCCAGGTCCAGATTTAGTCCCGCCTCCAACTCCAGCCTTCAGTCTACGGGAAGCCACGCCCCCCATTCCCATCCACCAATGTGCTGTCTCTGGCTACGCACCTCCCCCCCACCATCTCTAAGCGATCTCAGTTCCCACGGGCAGCGGGATTCCGCCCATAGGCAAGCTCTCACCAAACAGAGCCCAGCCCTCTGATAAACTCCGCCCCTGAAGCGCCTCATCCGCTTGGGCTCCGCCCACGACCAAAGTCCGGTAAAGGCCCCGGCTCCGCCTCTCCTCTCCAAGCCGCGGGTAACCTAAGAATCCGAATCCAGACCCTGCGAAGTCCCGCCCGGCTCCGCCCACCGCGCTGGCCCCGCCCTCACCTTGGCGTGCGGCTCCGTGGCGTAGGCGCGGTAGTTGGCTGAGGAGCGGCGTCGTACAGGGGGTGGCGCGGGAGGCGGGTCCTCCGCCTGGGATTGGGGGAACGGAGCTGAGTCATCACAGGGACGCCCCCCCTCCCCAGCCCCTGTCCACGCAGTCTTCCAGGGCTGCAGCCTCTCGCCCCAGAACCCTCCCGGCAGCGCCCTCCCCGGCCAGGCGGGTCCAGCCCACGCCGACTCTCACCGCATCGCCGCTCCTGGAGGGAGAGAAACCAGGAAAAGGGGATTAATGGTAGGCCTGGGTCCTGTCCACGCCGTGTCCTAAGGGACCCCAGAGGCCCCTCTGACCGACAGGTCCGGCCCGCCAGCTGCCGCTTCTCGGCTCCTATGGGTCAGATTCCCAGACTCTTACCTCATTCCGATGCCCAGGAGTCCTGTCCCTACCTCCCTTCTCAGGCCTGGAGTCCAACCCCGCAGCTCTCACCCCTCACAGGAACCCGGGAGGTCACCCCCCTATCCGCCACTGCCTCGGGCCTCAGGAGTCCCTGTTACCAATTACTCACCGGTCCGCCATGCTGAGTCTCAAGCCAGGGGTTGCGGAAGGCAGAGCAGGGGACAAGGGGCTCTTGGAGGGTCAGTGAGGGGGCGTCCGGAGTGACCTTGAAGGCCCCTGGGGCTTCTGTCTCGTCCGGCCTGCTCAAACCTCACTGAGGACACTGAGATAAAGGGCGAGGACAGAGACTAAATATATTGCTGCCCCCTCCCCTCCCTGCCCAGGATTCGAGATAACGGGGCGCGTGAGGGCTGGGGCGGGCCATGCTCCAGCTGGATCACCCCTCCATCTTGGCGGCCTGGGAATCCAGCCCCTCCCTCCTCCCACCTAGGAGTCCAGACCCCCAACCTCTCCATTCTCAGACCCCGATGGGTGTCCAGGCCCCCAAAACCCTCCTCCTTCTGACACAGGAGTCCAGGCCCCCAGCCCCTCTTCCCTCTGACACAAGAGTTCGGACCCCAACGTCCTCTTCCCTCAGACCCGGGAGTCTAGGCCCCGCCCCCTCACTAAATTGTAATTCTCCTTGAGGGCTGGAACTTTTTTTTACCATGTTATGGTCAGTTTCGGTGCCCCAAACCTGTTAGCCGATCCATAAATTTTGCTGATTTACTTGAGAATCCAGGTGTGGGGTGCCCAGGTTCTCAGCAGGCAGCACGGAGAAATTCACTCCTAGCCCTCTTGGGAACCCAGAAATCTGCTCTCGAGTCTCTTCTCTTGAACACTCCTGCCCCTCCCCTCTCCCAGCCCTGGAGACAGACTGAGGGCAGGAAAGACACACGGACACACGGAGAAGAGGATCTGGCTCTCTTTACTTGGACCACCCTAGTGTTGACCAGCCTGTGAGAGGAGACGCCCCCAGCCCCTAGTTAGGAATGGGATGCCTGGGGATGAGGGGACCATGCAGAGGGCCTGAGCCCCAGGGCCGGATCTCCAGGCTGGTTTTAGAGTCTTGGGAGTGGAATGTAGAACTCAAGAGAACAATCTAGAATTCTAGGAATAAAATATAGAATCCCAGGAATGGAATCTGAAATTCTAGCGACACCTCTGGCGCTGAGTGCGAATGCTGGGAGTATAATTGAGTATTCTAGAGGCGCGTTCTGATTCTAGGACCCGACTTTAGAAGTAAGTTAGGGACTGGGGAGTTGGTCTCTGGAGGTACAGTCAGACTCTGGTTTGGGGGTCTGACTCCCTGTGGGTGGAACCAAAGCCTCCAACAGTGAAGCCTGAGACTCTGAAGGCCGTTTGAGGGGTTCAGAGGGTGGGATCCCGCCTTCAAGGGGCTGGGTCAGGTCCTCGGGGGGAGGGTTGGTTGCCTCAGGGGGCGGGGCCAGGACTTCAGGGGGCGGAGTCCCAGATCCCACAGCTGGGTCCTTGTGGCTGGGAGCAGAGTCTCCGGCCTTGTAGAAGCGCGCGAAGGTCTGCGAGCGCCTGGCCCCCGGCTGTGGGGCGAATCCAGCCGCCTGTGCTAGCTCCCCGACCCGGGTGGAGAACCCCTGAAGCTGCTCCTGCCGCAGGTCCACTAGGAACCTGGAACCAGGAAGCAGCGTGTTAGGGGACCTGGCTTTCCGCCCCCAGCCCGGAAGTTCCCCGCCCTGCTCTCCGCGGGCTCACCGGGCTAATTCTACAATGAGGCGTCCTCCGGGGGCCACGCAGGCACCGAGCTCAGGGCTCAGAAGATGGACCATCCTGCGGAGAGAAAAAGGGGAGGGCTGAGGCTCAGACTTTTAGGTCCTGAGGGGAGAGGCGGGCTGGGGACCTAGACACTGATTAAGGAGGGTCTGGAGACTTGGATTCCTGGGTCTGAGGGAGGAGGGGTTGGGGGAGGAAAATCTGGGAACCTCCCAGGCCCTCTTACCCACAAGCCACGTAGAGAAGCTGGAACCGTCCCCTGTAGCAGCTCTTGTGGTGGAGGGTCTGGGCAGAACCGAGGGACAGGAAGTGGACAGTGAAGGATTCCGGGACAGGGGCTGCTGGGGAAGGGAAGACTGGCGGGGTTAGGCAAACAGACAAAGCTTGGAGATGACTCGCCTTGTCCGTCTTCAAGCCCTTTCTCATCCTTCCTCTTAGGCAGATTCCTGGAAAATTCTGGGAGGATTGGCCTGGCACGCAGAGACCCATTTTACAGACCAGGCAACTGAGATTCAAGAGAAGAAAAGAGAGTGGTTGGCCCATGGCCACACAAGACATCCATTCACCCGGGAGGGCCAAGTTAGGGGATGGGTGGAAGGAGGCACGACCAGATTTGGGGGGGAGGGCTCTCCAGCGTTAAGCTGGGACCCAGCTTAACCTTGTTAAAATGTTCTCAGCCTCTTGGACTTCTGCAGGTAGGATGAGAATTCTACGACTGGAATTCAGAATGCTAAGGATGGTGTCAGGATTTAGGAAAGGGAGAGAAGCTCAAAGAGAAGAGAGAAAAATAGACCGGATGTCGGGAAGGGGAGGTCACTTGTCCAGGCATTAGATACCATATCAGTCCATGCTTGGACTTGAAACACCAGGAGCCTGAAGCCCGGGACGGGGGTCCGGATTCCATTCTCTCTCAGACATGATCACCCGAGCCCCACTTCCCATCTCAAGGAAGAAGGCTGAGTCCGTCGCTTACCAGGCTCCGGGCTTCCATCCGCGTCGCCTTGCACCTGCGCGGGGTCTCCCTGGGTGGCTCTCGGGCGCCTCCAGGCGGCCATCTCTCGGAACAGCTCCGTCACGTTGTGCTGCGTGATCTCGCCCGCGGTCTTTGGGGGAGAAGGGGCGTGGCCGGATGCGGGGCTAGGACCGCGGGGCCGGAATGGCAGGGGAGAGGCTTAGAGTACGCCATCCCCCACACTCCCCCACCCCCAGAGCTAGCATCTGGCGGGCAAGCTTACACTTCCATACTGGCCCTAGGAAGTAGAGAGGGGGCGCATAGGGGGCGGGGCCTCGCGAACTCGCCTCCAGCCCCAGCACCTCCAGCCTCAAACCTTGATAGGCTGACCGTTGCTGGTCTTCAGGAGGGTCTCGTCGTCCGCTTCGATGCCGAAGGCCACGAAGGGCCCCGTGACGATGTCCCCCCAGTACCCGCGCGCCGCTACACGCTCCCCGCGCTGGGAAATCAGGGAGAGAGGAGACGGGTGAGGTCGATGTTGGGGACTCCGACTCCTGGGCCCCCGAAAAGAAGCGGCAGCCAGGGCAGGGAGTGGACTCGCACGTGGCTCAGGAGGCGACCGGACGCCAGGGTCCGGTTGGGCACGTGATAAGCGCTGGAGTCTCTGAGTTCAAAGGCGACTCCTGTGTCCCTCCAGCGCCGGAACTCACTGGTGTGGATGACTCGGGCCTGGAGTGGGGGGATGCAAGAAAAGAGGCCTCAGTAAATCTGGTATATGGATCCCAGGGTCTCCTCCCAAAGACCCAGCACTGAGGGCCTCTGGCACCCTTTTCCTTCAGACCCAGGATTCTTCGGGGCCTCCAACCGCTGCTTCCTCAAGCCCCAGCCCCTCCTCCTACACACCCAGGACTGGAGACCCCAGGCCCCTCCTCCCAGCCCTCACCCCGCGATCGTGCAGCTTCATGTGCAGGTCCCAGTCGCTGACACCGCGCCGGGCGTCGTACCGGGAGCCCAGGTAGTGGCGCAGCCTCGAGTCCCACAGGCGGCTCATGGGGAAAGCCTCGGGCCCCTTCTCCCCTCCGGCCCAGAAACGGAACACGGCCTCCAGGGCGTCGCGCTCGCGGAACTGCACGACCAGGCCCGCGTGGAGAGAGAACGAGGGAGAGGCGGCTGCAGGGACCGCGGCTTCTTTTACCTGATCCTCCCTTCCCTCCCACGGCGTGGGAACGATTCTCTTTTTTCTCAGATGAAGAAACTGCGGCTCCGAGAGTAGAAGGCACCCCCAGGGCCATATCCCACTGTGGGAGCCGGGGAGCCCTCAGCTCTATCCATCAACGCAAACCCTTTTGGACTGCCCATCCCCATTCTTCCCGCCGCCACCCGAATCCACGCCGGTGACGGTCGCAGGCCGGGCGGCGGCACCTTAAGGGCGCCCAGGCTGAGCCAGGGCAGCTGCTCCGCCAGGCGATCGGGCTCCGGGACGAGGCGAGCCAGGCGGCCGGCCTGGGCGCGCACGAAGGCGGCCACAGCGGGGCGCAGCAGCGCGTTCCCCCACACCTCCAGGAAGGTCTCGCTCCTCTCTGCGGGGAGGGGGGAGAAAATTAGAGGAGGGGGCAGAGGAGTGAGCCCAGAAATGAGACCCGTGCGGATGACGCATACGCACTTTATAGTGATCTTCTCATTCCATAGTCGTGTAATCAGCACAACGGACCCAGGCAAACTCCCTACCCACCCGAATAGCTAGAACACGAAGAATAACTTACACCCCACCTAGGTCTCCTCGCCTATTCCTTCCCACCCCCTGCAGGTAACCCCAATCCTGAATTTCATGTTTGTTTCCCTTGCCTTAAAAAAGGAAAAGTTGTATATAAATATAGATGGAGATGAAGATTTATGTGTGTTAAAGTGTTGAATATTTTCATTTTAGTTAAGAATCTTATAAAAGGGACTTCCCTGATGGCGCAGTGGATAACTCCGCGCTCCCAATGCAGGCGGCTCGGGTTCGATCCCTGGTCAGGGAACTAGATCCTACATGCATGCTGCAACTAAGAGTTCGCCTGCCGCAACTAAGGTCACACAGCAAGTAGAGTCAGAATTTGAATACAGCCTGCCTGAGTCTACACTCTGCTCTAGGCACTAAATTGAAGTTTTTGTTACTGGGAAATAATCATTTCCCACCCAAATCCTCCTTCTCCCCCTCCTCCTTATAACCTCACTTCCAAGGCCGCTTCCTCCACGCAGATTCCCTGGGATGCACACCTCTAACTAAGGGAGACTCAGGACTCAGGCCTTGGGCAGGACTGAGCTCAGCTCAGCCAAACCCTCCCCGCATCTGGGGGACTCACTACCTCTCAGGAAGCCATTTGATCTCTTTTGGGCTTCTCCCTCGCTAAGAGGTTTTGAATGCTTACACTGTGTCATGCACAGTTCTGAGAGTTTTATGTGGCTTTTCTCCTGGAATTCCCTAAATGATTCTAGGAAGTATTATCTTTTATCCCCATTTCAAAGGTGGGAAAAGCTGAGGCTCTAAGGCTACCAAACAAGTGAGCAAGTGATGAAATAGGGAACAATGTCCAAAATGTTTAACCGCACCCTTGAAATGCCAGAATTCTTGCAGGGAGGGGGAAGGAGCTGGGGGCCAGATTGCCGGGTATTTGCTGACCTTGCAACCCCATCTTCTCAGGATCCTCCAGGGCTAGGCTGAAAATCAGCATGTGTCGGGCTACAGCTTCCATATTATTCTCCAGCACATAAAACTGGAAGGATGGACAGGGAAGAATGATTCTCAGACCTGTGTTCCTGGCCCCTAGGAGACACTGGAGTGGGAAACCTCAGCCCCCTCCTTCCACAGGACCCAGGAGACCTGTAAACCAGCCCCACTCCTTTAAACACAGGAGTGGGGGGGACTCAGAACCCTCCTCCCCATCACTACTCAGGAGACTTGATCCTTAGGCTCTTCCTCTCACTTCACTACTCAGGAGACTTGATCCTTAGGCTCTTCCTCTCACTTCAACCCAGGAGTCCCCAACACCAGCCCCTTCCCTCCTCAAGACCTAGGAGTCTGGGTCCCCAGCTCCCTCCTCCCTCAAGGACTCAGGAATCTGTGCTCTTATCTTCATCCTCCTCCTTCCAGGACCCCATAATCCCAGCTTACACGGAACCTCCTTCGAGGCCAGAGAGCCGCCCGGGTCAGGGTCCGTAGCAGGTGTCGCCCATCCACGGAGCCCAACAGCAGTACATTTAGCTCGGGGGTCCCGTGCTCTGTATCGGCCTGTGAGTCTGGGTCCACAGGAGGACCTGACAAGACGACAGCGGGCTGGGGTTGGTGGCCTGGAGAACGCCCCCTGCAGCCAACCCCAGCACTATGGACTACAACTCCCAGCAGGACTTGCACCCCAGGCTTTGGGTTTTTTTTTTTTTTTTTTTTTTTTTTTTTGTTTCAGCGTCCCTCCCT